GAGGAGTGACGACATCGACTCATTCAAGAACTTGGGATGTTCGCACGCTGCATGAGGATCTCTCGCTTTCAAGGCTGGCTGCATGCATCTAGCGTTGACGTGATGACCAGCGTATTGCATGACAATGTCTCCGTGCTGTCGTGGGGATCATCGCCAAGGAACGAGGGGAGTCGGTCCCTCCATGTGTATCTGCTCTACCAAAGAGTGATGGTAATATGCTCGTGATTCGCTGGAAATAGTGTGATCGTGCGACAGAGCTGATACAGGGAACGACGGAAAAATGTCCCCAGTGGTACTTCACCATGTTTTCGTTATTTTAATATTGTCGACAAAGGCAATCTGCCCAAAGAAATTGTAATATTTTTAACCAATGGGTGACATCTACTTCTACGACCTAGAACATGATATCATGCTTCATTTGCCTGATATACTATCGTATAATGGCATGAACCTGCTCACTTTAACCTCGTTGAAGCAATATTAGTTACCTCCATATGCTTACGCTACAGGCTGAACTCAGTGCGAGCCTGGAAATGATGGAGCTGTGCAACATCATGGAGTCCCTCAATGCCAAGGACGAAGATGATTGCGGCCTCACTTTGATTGTGATGGAGATCCTTCAGCTTTAGATGTAAAGTTTCGATTTATGTAAATCTTGCTTTTTGAATGGACTCGGTTCCAGATTCAAATCGGACATTCTCTTTCGGATTTCAACAAACTTCAAGTCGGACATTCCATTTCGGTTGGAGGTAGTATGTCGCAATAATACAATATAATCGCATTGTGTCATGCAAACCGTCCTACGTTGGAACATTCAATACAACAACAACTTCACAAACAATAAGAATAATTGCTCACACCGTAGAGCTCCCGCTCGAAGCCCGAGCGGTACTGGGTTCATTCAATGACGTGGATGTACAGTTATGCCGTATAGTCAGTGTGCATTGAAACCTCAACATGTCCGTTGTGGTATTAATATCCTTATGGGCCTTACCCAACGCGAGGTCACAATAAACTATTGTTCACTGACGTTCAACATATTTTGTCTTCCAAAACACTCCTGCCTGTTGAAATATATACCAGGAATGCACAGGCAATTTTTCTTCTTTTTGAGGGCGTAAGAATTAATTTGACTGGTTCCTCGAAAATTACTGGTTGGTTTAAAGTCCCGCTAAACCTCGTCCTTTATAAAGTGGTGGCAATAAGGATATGACAACTTGATTATTTGATAGCTACACTACTTCGTGCCTAAAACAATGATTATCCTGCACTTCTTAGGCCTCTGGTGTGCCCCTAAACGCAATGCAGTTTGTGCTGAGTGTTCACTGTATGATATGCTGTATCATTATACAATTAGTTTGAATCAGGTCGAGAAATAATGATATGCCATGAAAAAAGAAACACATGTATTAATGCAATTAATACGAAATCTTGCGACCTTTTGTAGCAACTACTTCAGCACAGCATTTAGGCATTGG